TCCACTTCCCCATGGAGATAAGAAATATAGAAGAACAAGAACTATTAAGAAAATAGAGAAAAACCCAGATGGGTGTGTATATATATGCGTGTATATGCATGTGTAGGGGTGACATAAGTGTAAGTACACGTAGCAAGATATGTTACCTCGCGTGTTTGAGGCAGAAAAAAAGACACCAGCAATCCTACCATCATGTAAAACAATTACAACTTTGAGTTATACACTCGCTTGGCAGGATGGCAGTACCTCCCTGGGTGGTTGGTGTCTACTAGTTATACACTCGCTTGGCAGGATGGTAGTACCTCCCTGGGTGGTTGGTGTCTACTAGCTATACGCTCGCTTGGCAGGATGGTAGTACCTCCCTGGGTGGTTGGTGTCTACTAGTTATACACTCGCTTGGCAGGATGGTAGTACCTCCCTGGGTGGTTGGTGTCTACTAGTTATACGCTCGCTTGGCAGGATGGCAGTACCTCCCTGGGTGGTTGGTGTCTACTAGTTATACACTTGCTTGGCAGGATGGTAGTACCTCCCTGGGTGGTTGGTGTCTACTAGTTATACACTCGCTTGGCAGGATGGTAGTACCTCCCTGGGTGGTTGCTGTCTACTAGTTATACACTCGCTTGGCAGGATGGTAGTACCTCCCTTGGTGGTTGCTGTCTACTAGTTATACACTCGCTTGGCAGGATGGTAGTACCTCCCTGGGTGGTTGCTGTCTACTAGTTATACACTCGCTTGGCAGGATGGTAGTACCTCCCTGGGTGGTTGGTGTCTACTAGTTATACACTCGCTTGGCAGGATGGCAGTACCTCCCTGGGTGGTTGCTGTCTACTAGTTATACACTCGCTTGGCAGGATGGTAGTACCTCCCTGGGTGGTTGGTGTCTACTAGTTATACACTCGCTTGGCAGGATGGTAGTACCTCCCTGGGTGGTTGGTGTCTACTAGTTATACACTCGCTTGGCAGGATGGCAGTACCTCCCTGGGTGGTTGGTGTCTACTAGTTATACGCTCGCTTAGCAGGATGGCAGTACCTCCCTGGGTGGTTGCTGTCTACTAGTTATACACTCGCTTGGCAGGATGGTAGTACCTCCCTGGGTGGTTGCTGTCTACTAGTTATACACTCGCTTGGCAGGATGGTAGTACCTCCCTGGGTGGTTGCTGTCTACTAGTTATACACTCGCTTGGCAGGATGGTAGTACCTCCCTGGGTGGTTGCTGTCTACTAGTTATACACTCGCTTGGCAGGATGGTAGTACCTCCCTGGGTGGTTGGGTGTCTACTAGTTATACACTCGCTTGGCAGGATGGCAGTACCTCCCTGGGTGGTTGTTGTCTACTAGTTATACACTCGCTTGGCAGGATGGTAGTACCTCCCTGGGTGGTTGGTGTCTACTAGTTATACACTCGCTTGGCAGGATGGCAGTACCTCCCTGGGTGGTTGGTGTCTACTAGTTATACACTCGCTTGGCAGGATGGCAGTACCTCCCTGGGTGGTTGGTGTCTACTAGTTATACGCTCGCTTGGCAGGATGGCAGTACCTCCCTGGGTGGTTGCTGTCTACTAGTTATACACTCGCTTGGCAGGATGGTAGTACCTCCCTGGGTGGTTGCTGTCTACTAGTTATACACTCGCTTGGCAGGATGGTAGTACCTCCCTGGGTGGTTGCTGTCTACTAGTTATACACTCGCTTGGCAGGATGGTAGTACCTCCCTGGGTGGTTGCTGTCTACTAGTTATACACTCGCTTGGCAGGATGGCAGTACCTCCCTGGGTGGTTGCTGTCTACTAGTTATACACTCGCTTGGCAGGATGGTAGTACCTCCCTGGGTGGTTGCTGTCTACTAGTTATACACTCGCTTGGCAGGATGGCAGTACCTCCCTGGGTGGTTGCTGTCTACTAGTTATACACTCGCTTGGCAGGATGGTAGTACCTCCCTGGGTGGTTGCTGTCTACTAGTTATACACTCGCTTGGCAGGATGGTAGTACCTCCCTGGGTGGTTGGTGTCTACTAGTTATACACTCGCTTGGCAGGATGGCAGTACCTCCCTGGGTGGTTGCTGTCTACTAGTTATACACTCGCTTGGCAGGATGGTAGTACCTCCCTGGGTGGTTGTGTCTACTAGTTATACACTCGCTTGGCAGGATGGCAGTACCTCCCTGGGTGGTTGTGTCTACTAGTTATACCTCGCTTGGCAGGATGGCAGTACCTCCCTGGGTGGTTGTGTCTACTAGTTATACACTCGCTTGGCAGGATGGAGTACCTCCCTGGGTGGTTGCTGTCTACTAGTTATACACTCGCTTGGCAGGATGGTAGTACCTCCCTGGGTGGTTGTGTCTACTAGTTATACACTCGCTTGGCAGGATGGTAGTACCTCCCTGGGTGGTTGTGTCTACTAGTTATACACTCGCTTGGCAGGATGGTAGTACCTCCCTGGGTGGTTGTTGTCTACTAGTTATACCTCGCTTGGCAGGATGGTAGTACCTCCCTGGGTGGTTGCTGTCTACTAGTTATACACTCGCTTGGCAGGATGGCAGTACCTCCCTGGGTGGTTGGTGTCTACTAGTTATACACTCGCTTGGCAGGATGGTAGTACCTCCCTGGGTGGTTGCTGTCTACTAGTTATACCTCGCTTGGCAGGATGGTAGTACCTCCCTGGGTGGTTGGTGTCTACTAGTTATACACTCGCTTGGCAGGATGGTAGTACCTCCCTGGGTGGTTGGTGTCTACTAGTTATACGCTCGCTTGGCAGGATGGTAGTACCTCCCCGGGTGGTTGGTGTCTACTAGTTATACGCTCGCTTGGCAGGATGGTAGTACTTCCCTGGGTGGTTGGTGTCTACTAGTTATACACTCGCTTGGCAGGATGGCAGTACCTCCCTGGGTGGTTGGTGTCTACTAGTTATACGCTCGCTTGGCAGGATGGTAGTACTTCCCCGTGTGGTTGGTGTCTACTAGTTATACGCTCGCTTGGCAGGATGGTAGTACCTCCCTGGGTGGTTGCTGTCTACTAGTTATACACTCGCTTTGCAGGATGGTAGTACCTCCCCGGGTGGTTGGTGTCTACTAGTTATACGCTCGCTTGGCAGGATGGTAGTACCTCCCTGGGTGGTTGATGTCTACTAGTTATACGCTCGCTTGGCAGGATGGTAGTACCTCCCCGGGTGGTTGGTGTCTACTAGTTATACACTCGCTTGGCAGGATGGTAGTACCTCCCTGGGTGGTTGGTGTCTACTAGTTATACACTCGCTTGGCAGGATGGTAGTACCTCCCCGGGTGGTTGGTGTCTACTAGTTATACACTCGCTTGGCAGGATGGTAGTACCTCCCCGGGTGGTTGGTGTCTACTAGTTATACACTCGCTTGGCAGGATGGTAGTACCTCCCTGGGTGGTTGCTGTCTACTAGTTATACACTCGCTTTGCAGGATGGTAGTACCTCCCCGGGTGGTTGGTGTCTACTAGTTATACACTCGCTTGGCAGGATGGTAGTACCTCCCCGGTGGGTGTGTCTTAGTATCTGCTGCAGTTACTCCTTGGTCTGTCTACTACTTATGAATATGACTAAGAAAATTTTGGAAATTTCTGATTATTTTTATATGTAGCTACTGTGTGTTTATTAATAGGTTTAGTAGTCCTAGTGTGAGATTGTGCCGCGGGGCTAAACTCATGGACATGACTTTCATCACCCACATGTGACAGTGTCTTCAATTGCTGCACCTCTCCTCTGGCTCCTCACAGTACATGAAAAAGACTTCAGTTTTTGTGGGAAGTGCTTGATCAAAAAAACTTTTTTTAGTGTTGGTCTCAGTGAAGGCTATAAACACTGCATTTGACAGCGAGGAGGCACTGAGGTCAGGGATTATATTATATATTATCATTGCTTAATTTATGAACACTATGTGCTTAATTGTCTACTTATTGAAGAATATAGAGATTGTATAATAACCTATGTGACATGGCGAGATATCTTATTAATGAAAATAAGATACCAGATATATTAAGCAAATTTCCTAAATTTGCTTTCAACAGGTAAGTGAAATGTAGACATAAATCCAGATGTACTCCTGTTAGCCCCTTTTGGGGCCTAGTTCCTAGGCCTTTTGTGTCTCCTTATGTTCTTGCGCTACCCTCCACAGGATAGATATGGAATGCATAATAATCTAGCCACTTTACTGGCAAAATCTAATCTTAGATTATGACATTTCATTTTGTGTGTGTCATTACTTATATATTATTATTTTTAGGTTTGAATTTCGTATTGGCCATATTATCTATTAATGTGATGGGAGAGACACTTCTTTATTCTACCCAGTATATCTCCGACGTCTTGAAAGAATTGTTACCACATTATTTTGTTCTCTTTAACATTATCTTGTGTCCGAATGACTAATTTTCACGGTCATATTAATGTTCAGTCGAGTTGCCAGAGCTTTATATGGAGAGCAGGACAGCCTGTATCACACTCTTGCTTTTATTAAGTCATGGTACAGGTGTGGATGGTAGCGCTTTAGATTATCGAATGACACCTGCCATTATTAAAGAGTTCACCTTCGTTGATATGTGTGGATACACCTGCATGTTTCATTTAGTTTAGTAAACTCTCGGTACCTGCAGACAACTCCAGCATGGTACCTCCATATGTTGTTCTGGTAATTATTTGTAGGATCATTTTTTGACAGCTGATTCGTTTAATCTAGTCCCTATAGTGGGACTCGAAGAATTATAGGTATATAATTTTTATTTTAAACTTTGCGTGATGTTAGTGCCCAGGTGGTGACTCGGTACACCGGTTCCATTCACAAGGTTTAATAAGCTGTCTGCATCTCAACAAGTTCCTGCCTCTCCCACTTTTATGTTCAGCTGTTCTTGTGTTTCTGTGACGGCTGTCTGTACTGTTATAGTGTAGTAGCACTTCACACTATGTGTGTAATGAGGTACATTCATATTAATAACACTGAGTAATGAGTTGTGTGAGGTGAATTAAGTAGAGTTGTTGTTTGTTGCAGCCGTCAAGTTGTCTGTCAGACGCTGAGGAGGATCAGATCTACGGGTACACTGGAGGATTCAGAGGCGGGGGACTACGTGCACCTGTGTTGGCTCACAACAACCACGGCTTCATCCATGACAACCAGGGGTAAGTGCACCATTGTTGCACCCTTCTGCCACACCACCAGTCTTAATACTCATTGTTACAGTAACTCAGTAATGCTCAGCTTCACGAGCTATGTGAATGTCACTGACGTCAAATAATTCTAGCCAAATTTAGACTAAGCTTATATATATATAATGAATAGGATTAAACTCGAAGTTAATTTTTTGTTAACATTTTTGTGTTACTACGTTAGTTTCGATGTAAAACTAAAAGTTGTAAGCCTTGTTTATTTTAAAGAAATACATCCATGATTATGATAAAATTTTCGAAATATTTATTATGTCATTCAATTTATTGAATGGACAGCGCCTAAAAATCATCCTCTGGCTACCATCACCACCTCACAAACTCGCCCATCACCTTCGACTTCTCATACACTGATAACTCCATCTCACCCCACTTACTAGTGTCCAACAATATCACTCTGTGTGTGTGATTTTTTTATCACCTGCCGCACACCCACCCACTCCCTGCCAACAAGTCTCGCCTCTTCCATGGATCCCTAACTAGAGACTAACAGTGTAAACATTCTCCCCCATTCCTCCTGTAGTTTCGAACCCTCTGACTGCACTTTGCTTGCATACCCCTCATCCAACTCCTCTTATACTTCCTCCTCTCATCCAATTCACACTCCACTGCACACACAACCTTTTAGTATTCTCCAGCGTACATATATACAAATGAAAACCTCTCCCGTTCTCCCTCACAATCATTTTCCTCTCCCTCCCTTCCCCTCAGCCACAACCCCACCTCACATACAGTACTTCCACAGCACTAACTACAGTGCTACTCAACCACCACACAAGCTTCTCCCTCCAGTAGTCAGGTTGACCCCCGGCTTCCATCCCTGTGTCCTCCAGAGGAACACTAACGCACAGTAACAACTTAACACAAACTGAAAGGCAGTAACTGAATCACAGTGAAATGGTGAGTTTTCATTGATGAACGTGATAAATGTCAGTGAAGACATTAATGAATGTTGTGAGGTTATCAACACAATATCACAAGATCATTGAGACGTAAAATCCATCAAAGATCATTCAGACATCACAAGTATTAAAGCATCATCAAGGTATCAGAGGATTATGTAGACGTCACATCCATCAAGGATAAAATTAACGAGAATAAATTAAGATACAGATATAAAAAGATCGAAAAGTTGTCCCATTCAAAGCTTTTTCGTTGTTTCTATTTTCACTAAGTATATTTACTAAGTATCTTCTTCACTAAGTACCTTTCCTAAGTATCTTCACTAAGTAACTTTACTAAGTATCTTCTTCACTAAGTAACTTTACTAAGTATCTTCTTCACTAAGTATCTTTTCTAAGTATCTTCACTAAGTAACTTTACTAAGTATCTTCTTCACTAAGTAACTTTACTAAGTATCTTCTTCACTAAGTATCTTTTCTAAGTATCTTCACTAAGTATATTTACTAAGTATCTTCTTCACTAAGTATCTTCTTCACTAAGTATCTTTACTAAGTATCTTCTTCACTAAGTATCTTTACTAAGTATCTTTACCATCTTCTTCACTAAGTAGCAAAGAGAGTTTAAGGTGTGCTAAGTTGCAGAAGTTGAAGACATTGTCAGATAAGATGTACTTGCAGCATCTGGGTATCTTTGAGAGATACATGCACTGCAGGCTACCTGGAGTCGATGTCTCGGGGTCACTGCCCCCGCCGGGCCAGTCCCAGACCAAGACTACCGGTTGCTGACCTGATCAGCTAGACTGTTGGTGGTAACTGCACGCGGTCCTGCGTATGCACCATAACCTGGCTGATAAGGAACTGACTTAAGAAACTTATCAACCTCCATATTGGAGTTTGTTGTTGTGTTTGATGGGAGGATGTTGAAAAGTCTTGGTGTCTTTACACTTCTTGAGCTATCTTTTAGCTCCGAACCTCTTACTTTCGTAGGAAGGTTTTGTGTGTGGATTTGAGAGCAGTCCCTCTAGCATTTTCCAGAGGTAAATTGTAATTTATCTTTCTCGCCTACGTTCCAAAAAGTACAGATCAAAGTACTTCAAGCATTGCCAGTAATCTAGATTCTTGACTGACTTTGTGTGAGCAGCGATGATTCTCTGCACAATCTTCAAATCCGAAGTTTCACTTTCCTTAAGCAGGGCTGTTGGAGTACATTAGTACTCCAGCCTATAATGAATACGTCACTTGAAGAGTATCATCATTGGCATAGCATTTTTTGTTCTGAAGGGTTGGTGTTACCATTTTTCTTGTGGTTATAATGACACTGTGATCCTTCAAAGTGAAATCTGACATAATTACTCCTAAGTCCCTCATGTTAGACTTTCGCTCTATTATGAGATTACAGTTTGTTTTATTCTCCGTTTCAGTTTTTATTTCCTCAGTTTTTCATAGTGTAGTAACTGAAATTTGGCCACTAGAAGACTTGGTTTATACCAGCTTGGAGGTTTGCTGTGACCTCAATGGATGCCACTCGTGCAGATTCTAGTGTCGTCTACGAGGATGATATAGTGCCATGATTTATGTGTCTTTGTCAGATATGAAAAGAGAATTTGGGTAAATACTGTGCCTTAAAAGCCTATTGGTGCCAGCTGTATTGTGTAGCGTATGCACCTACACCAGGTTGATCAGGAACAAACTTTAGGAACTAATTAGGTTTTCTCTTCAAGACAGCTAGGGGAGCATATTGAAGAGTCTTGGTCCCCTAGTACTTGATTAGTTTTCTTTTGTACCCTTTGCTTATCATTGGAGGCGTTTTGCAAAGTCTGGAGCGATTTCATTGTTCACACTTGGGAAAAAAACATTCAGAATTTTCCAGGTGTAGATCATGAAGTGTCTTTTTCGCTTGTACACCAAGGAGTACAGTTCAGTTAACTTGAGCATTCACAGTAGTTTAGATGTTTGGTTGAATTTTCACGAGCAGTGAAGGTTTTCTGGACGTTTTCCGTTTTTGCAGTTTCGCCTATCTTAAAGAGGGCCGTTAGTATAAATTAATATCTCAGGATAAAGAGAAAAAGTGTATTCAAAAGCGTCATCATTGGCTGTGCATCTCTTGTTTTGAATGTTCTTGTTATCTGGCCAATCATTTTCCTTGACACTGCAATAATAATGCTGAGATCCTTGAATATGAAATCCTCTAACATTGTTACTCCCGAGTCTCTCACTCTGAATTATTTGATCTTGTCTAGTACTCCATTTCAATCTTTTATTACTCAATTTTTCCATAGGTGAGTAACTGAAATTTATCCTCTTTGAGCATCACAAAGTTGTCAGTGGCCTCTGGAAGACTTGGTTTAAATCAGTTTGAAGGTTTGCAGTGTCCCCGGGGGACACCACTGTCATAGAGATTCTGGTGTCATCAGCAGTGTCCCCGGGGGACACCACTGTCATAGAGATTCTGGTGTCATCAGCAGTGTCCCCGGGGGACACCACTGTCATAGAGATTCTGGTGTCATCAGCAGTGTCCCCGGGGGACACCACTGTCATAGAGATTCTGGTGTCATCAGCAGTGTCCCCGGGGGACACCACTGTCATAGAGATTCTGGTGTCATCAGCAGTGTCCCCGGGGGACACCACTGTCATAGAGATTCTGGTGTCATCAGCAGTGTCCCCGGGGGACACCACTGTCATAGAGATTCTGGTGTCATCAGCAAAGAATAAAAAAGTGCTATGATTTACGTCATAGTTTACGTTGAATATAAGAATGAGAAGGTAAGTAGGGAGAGTACTGTCTCGAAGATCAGAGTTCATCACTGCCGCCTCCCATTTAACTGTTTATTATTATTCTTTATGTTTTGTTTAGGAAGTTAAATATCCATCTGCCCACTTTCACAGTTATTTCTTTCGCTCTCGTCACATTATGTGTGCCATTACACGATGGTAACACTTGTTGAAGGCTTTGGCAAAGGTTATTGCTTGTCTTCCAGTGCATTAAAGACTATGTTATAATGGTCCAGTAGTTGGAAGAGGCAGGGGGGACGCGCTCTAATTCCACGCTGCCCTGGGTTGTGCAGAAACATGAGAAAGGATCTTATATAGTTGAACCAGTGAGGTGAACAAAGTGGAATAGTGGAGTAGTAATTGTAGTACTTCAAGGTGGAAGTAAGTTTCCTTAATGGATACGTTGTTTTAAGGTATTCAGTCCTGTATCTTTGATACAAGTTATAACATGAGAGGTGTTCAGTCCCATAGGTTTGGTGTATATAAAGTTATAAATATATTAATATATATATATATATATATATATATGAAGATAGGCAAGGGTAAGTAGGCTTCTTATAGTGCTCCTGTGACTTGTTTGAGGTTTAAGTTAGGTGTAGTTCATCAAGTTAGTGTTGTTACTGGTAGCTTTATACTAGTTGTGTGTGGCTTAGTTTGGGTTCCTAAGTTTCCAGTGTCCATTAGTTTTTTTATATTAAATTTTCGACGTGGGCCAGAGATTAACGATTACGAAGCACCAAACCCAATTTAAATCGCTCGCTCGCCAAAGGAGCACCGCAAGAGGCCTACTGACCTTGCCTAACTTAAAATGTAATATTTTTTTATAATCTAGGTAGACCAAGGCTAAGGGACTGAACTCCTTTCGTGTTATTTTTATCAAGGTTAATGGATTGAACACCTTAATTATCTTTACACTTAGTCTTACCCTGATGTCACCATTACTGTTTCTATTTCTTTATCGGTCCACCACTGTTCCTCTCATTGGTTTATCTATAAGCTCCTTCCTCATGTCTTTGTATTAGATTGATAAAGTCGGCTGTGCAGGCAAAACTTGTCAGGTGTTGTGTGTTCAGATATATCTTATTTGATGTCTTCAGTGGCTGCTCCTCTCCACTTCTACTGACTCCAGTACACAAGTATTCATCCTCACGCCTCTGTATTACACTGATAGTCTGCTCTATAGACGAAACATTTCTCAGTGAAGATTCGCAGGTGTTGCACATACCTTATGTATAACATATTATACCTAACTAGCTTGTTTTGATGCTTCCCAGTGGGAGA